CACAATAGCCAAGATTTGAAAACAACCCTAACTGTTCATAGATGGATGAATGGATAAAAAAATTATGGTATATGTACATAATATAATACTATTCAGTCTTAATAAAGGACATACTGACATTTGCAACAACATTGTTGAGCCTGGAGGGTATTACACTAAGTGAAATAAGCCATAAACAGAAAGACAGATACTGTACTATCTGACTTATATGTGGGATCTTAAGTCAAATCCATACAAACAAAGAGTGGAATGGTGGTTACTTGGGAGGAGAGGGCATGGAAATAAAGAGATGCGAATCAAAGAGTACAAACTTGAAGTTACATAGGATGAATTAGTCTAGAGATCTATGTTACAGCATGAGGACTCTAGTTCATAATACTGTTCTGTATACTGGAAATTTCTGGAGAGAGTAGACTTTAGGTGTGCTTACCATACATACACAAAAGAAAGTAATAAAATGTCTTGGAACTAGATAGAAGTAATATTTGCACAATGTTGTGAATTTACTAAATGCCCCTGAGTTATATACTTTAAGTAATCAATTTTATTCTATGTGAATTTTACCTCAATGAAAAGAAATGCAAGGAAACATGGGAGAAAACAGACTTCCTATTATACAAAACCCAAACATAAATCCTACCACATTCAACACATTTTTTTTAGGTGGCCCATCCTAAGTATTCATTTTCTATGTTGCTATATAATAGCATTTTAGATTATTTTTGTTTGTGTTTCCCAGCAGATTGTGAACTCTTTGTTTTTGTTTGTTTGTTTTATTTTGTTTTGTTTTGAAATAGAGTTTTGCTCTTGTTGCCCAGGCTTAAGTGCAATGGCACGAGCTCGGTTCACTGCAACCTCTGACTTCCAGGTTCAAGCAATTCTCCTGCCTCAGCCTCCTGAGTAGCAGGGATAACAGATACATGCCACCATGCCTGGCTAAATTTTTTTTGTATTTTTAGTAGAGACAGTGTTTCACCATGTTGGCCAGTCTGGTCTCGAACTCCTGGCCTCAGGTGATCAGCCTATTTTGGCCTCCGAAAGTGCTGGGATTACAGGCATGAGCCACCATGCCCTGCCTGTGAACTCTTGAAGAGAAGTCTTGCATTACTCCATTGCCAAGAGTACTTCTCCCTCCTAGTCACTTCACTCAGCCCTGTCTGAACTGTGCTCTCCAGGCTAGCACTGTTGGTGGTTATTGCTCTGGACCTCACTTTTAGTTGACTTGATCTGACTCATGTCCTATGCTTTTACACATGCCCCATCCTTAAAACTCATTTCTGTGTGCATTGTGTGTCTCAGATCCTGCATCTGGATATTTGGACTTGATCTTTGTTTTTATTTTCCTAATGGATTTTATCATAAACTTGACTGTAGTTTTATTAATTGCTTTAATATAATTTCAGGCTTCTTGCCTTTCCAAAAACTACTTCTCCAAAAATAACCATTTGGCTGGCACATGCTTCAGTCCTATCTCCACGAATAGGTGGGGAAGGGGAGTCAGCAGAGTTTTTCAGGTGCTATTTCTGGGCTATACATTCTCATTTCATAAATTTAATGGGTGTAACTGGTACTTATAATATTTGTGTTTTCAACAAGTTATTTTGAGTATTTAAGGAAGAAAATAACAGTAGTACAATGGATAATGTGAAAATGTTTAAGGGATTTCATTTTTATTTTTAACTGTGTAATTGCTAGTACGCATAGAAAAATGATGAGAAAATGAAGCAAAATGTAATCTGTTACATTTCTCAGTGATGGATAGCAACATGCACAAAGTTATATGCTTTTGAAATGTGATATTATCTTTTATTTTTAAAAAATTCAATTTGGGCCTTGCTACATATTATTTCCTAATATGTAGAAAAAATAAGAAGGAAAGCTATTGATTTTCCTCCAGTATGAAGGAAAATCAATAGTGCAAGAAGGGTCAATTGAACAAGCGAAGAAACAGTTCCCTTGAAAGAAATGTCGTGACAGAATACAAGAATTGTTATACTATTTAAAAACCAAACCAGATTTTCAAAATTATTCTACACTTGTGTGTTACAGTATATAATGTATGAATTCAATGGAGCAAGTGGTGATATCATAATAAAAATATAGTATTATTTTCTAAAGGAAGATCAATAGGAAGATCTATTTTAGAAAAGTGTCATTTGCAGCATGAGAACCCCAGTCTAAATGCCTATGAGTTGGCAAGGCAAAGAATAATGCATATATAATAATGACAACAGTCAATTTTACGCCTTTTTAAAAATGAGAATGCACCTACCATATAGATACAGTAGGTTCTTTTATTGCCAATTGCACTTCTCCAAAGTTAGATGGTGAGATAATGGCAGATCAACAACTATCTCTTCAGGTTTTTGTCAACTAATCCAAAAATTTTTTATGATATGACTTTAAACCATTTTTATATTTCAGGGTATAAACACTATAAGAAATAAATCTTTAGTTGAGTAACATGTAATTAATAAGCTGAGAGATATAAATATGTACAAGATGCATGTTACTAAATAAAATATATTTTATGTTTATGAGTACAGATATCCCAATATATTAGTTATAAAAGTAGCCCTATTTCTAACAGGAAGCATTTTTTCGAGAAAAAGTGTGCTTTGGCACGTGTGTGTGTGTACACCAGACAACTCTTAAAAGCTACTTCAGATTCCCTTAATTTCATCTTTTTGGTCACTTCTCCCAGCTTCACCCAATACTGCAGTGGTCAAGTTTCTGGAGTTTGAAACAAATTTATGCAAGCACGAGTGACCAGCTCTTCATCTTAAACCTGCATCCCATATCACTCCTCTTTTTTCTTTTGCCTGGAAATTTCCTATTGAGGTGATGCACCCACAAATGCTATGGAATTAATTGTCCATGAGGCAAATCTCTGACAACCTGGAGACTAGAGCCAATAGATGTATTATTCTCCCCTTTATCCTCAGAGACACCATCCCAAGATGATGTCACTGATGCCTCATACCAAGTAGTGGCCAACTTTACATTACATCCTCTCATGGTTTGCCCTAACCAACTGTAATGCCTAATCTGACCCATTCTGTCACCTTGCTCCTCCTTGCTTTGCCTGATCTCCACTTCCTCATAAACCACTGCTCCTTTGCCAGGCATTTCATCAGATTGCGTTGCTTATTTGCATACTGATGACATCAACCTGGTCACTCTTGCTCATTTACTCAGCGTTTTAGTATTTGACTAACAGTGTTTCTCTGCACTATTTCTGTAAGTCTTACGCTTCAGCATTCACACAGAAGATTAATTCCATATCCTGGCTTTCAGTGCTATGCTGCTTCCCTCTCAGCTATTTGTGCATTTGTCTGCAGGTGCCCATTCCCTAAACTGTATGATTGCCTATGATGGTACAGTCTCCAGAGTCTCCGTTTTATAACTCTATGTCCCATTTTTTCAGCCCACTTACCATAGTTATGCTATTCCAGACTAAGCTGAAGACTCCCAGTCCTCAATCCTTTACCTTCAAGTGCCCATAGCATGTTATGCCTTAATTCCATCCTTAAACAACTTAGACTCCATGATACATCAGTATAATCACTATTTACATACCTCCCCAATGTTTTTGCCTTTCTCTTCTTCTTACAACACGTCTGAAAAATCTTAACCATAATTCAACTAAATTTCTATCTGCTTCCCCAAGTAGCAAAATATGACTCAGAGAAAACATACAACTATGCTGATGAGTTCGCCTTCAACTTGTGACCCCCAAACCCCAGCTCAGTCATGACTCTTGCTTATGAGTCATCATTTGTCTGAATTTGCTGTTTATATCTTTTTTCTCTCCAAACTTTCAGCAAATGTCCTTTATTACTGTATTTAATAAGCTTGGCTTTGCTTTACTACTATAGCAGCATTAAGAACAAAATTATTTATCTATTAAGAAAATCTACCAAACTAGCTGCATTTATTCCCATAACCCTTCTTACTATGAAGAAATGTATATGCTCCCATCTTAGCCAAAAATCCTTCACTTCTACATTGGATTCCATTTTTTTCCCACCTGCTTAAGGACTCTGCTCCTGAAATTATATCTTACTTATTCAAGTATCAACAGTTTGTCTCTCTCTGCTCTATTTGTCTATTTCCATTAGAATACAAATATGGTTACATATTTTTCTTTCTTTTTTTTCTTTTTTTTAGATGGGGTCTTACTCTGTCACCCAGGCTGGACTGCAGTGGTGCGATCTCGACTCACTGCAACCTCTGCCTCCCAGATTGAACCGATTCTCCTGCCTCAGCCTCCTGAGGAATTGGGATTACAGGTGGTACACACCACCATGCCCAGCTAATTTTTGTATTTTTAGTAGAGACGAGGTTTCACCATGGTGGTCAGGCTGGTCTCCAACTCCTGACCTCATGATCTGCCCACCTCAGCCTCCCAAAGTGCTGGGAGTACAGGTGTGAGTCACCATGCCCAACCTACATCTTAAAATTAAAAATAAAATTCCTCCTTTAACTCCACTTATTTCGGTAGCTTCAGCCTGAAATGTCTGTTCCCTGCAATCGTAATCTCTTCTACGTAGTTGTAATTATGGCATGTTTTCAAATCTTCACATTTTAGTCACCTTTAAAACTATTACAAATAGGTTTTAACTCAGCATTCCACTGAAACAGTTCTTAGCAAACGGGCCAAGGGAAATTTAATATGTTTCCCAGTGAGTTTACTTCTGACTTGAAATGTCTCTTCTTCATGCCTCATTTGTGGGATGTCATTCAGATTCCTTTTAAATGGTTAAACAATATATATTAGAGCCCTAAATGTAAAAACATAAGGATTGGTATATTTTTGAGGAAAAAAAAATAAAATGTCCTTAGTTGAGTATTAAATATCCTTTTTGTGGTACTTAAGTATTATTGACTTTGTAAATGACAATTATTACTGTGAAGATTCTCAATGTTTTTATAATATAAAATTATGATTGTTCTTTTTTTACAAAACAAAGAAAAATTTGAGTTTCTTCTTATTCAAGGTTACACTTTCTGACATTGATTCCTCTGAAGATGACAAATGCCTTCATAAGGTAACAGTTTTATAATATGCTTAGAAAATAGAATCAGATTGATATGGTTTGTGTCTGTGTCCTCACCCAAATATCTCCTTGAATTGTAATAATCCCCACATGTCAAGGGCAGGACCAGGTGAAGATAATTGAATCAAGGGGGCATTTTTTCCCCCCATTCTGTTCTCATGATAATGATTAAGTCTCCTGAGATCTGATGGTCTTATAAGCATCTGGCATATCCCCTGCTGGCACTCATTCTCTTTCCTGCCCCCTGTGAAGAGATACCTTCTGCCATGATTGTAAGTTTCCTGAGGTTTCGCCAGCCTTGTGGAACTGTGAGTCAATTAAACTCTTTTTCTTAATAACGTATCCAGTCTCAGGCAGTTACTTACAGCAGTGAGCGTGAGAATGGACTAATACACAGGTTGTGTTAAAAATAGTCCAAAGAAATATTGCTTAGGTCAAAACCTGATGCTGTCATTTACTAGCTGTGACTCATTTGCCAGTTTCTTAAACCCTCTGAGTAAGTTCCCACATAGACCATAAAGCTATGATGAGCATAAATGTATATGTGAAAAGTGCTTAATGTCATGTTTATCAGACAATATAAGCAAATAATATACGTTAATTGGTTAACAAAAATCACACTTTTGTGACTTTAAAGTTCACTAATCATTGTGGAAAACATTATTTTTTTTCTTTTTCCCCATCAAACTTTTATCTGTTAATTTATATTTCTACGAATTCATGGTTTTCTATATTATACCATGGAAGGTAACACAGTACTATTTTTTATTTTATTTCGTTTATTTATTTATTTTACTTTAACTTCCAAGATACATGTGCCAACAGTGTAAAAAAGGTTCCTATTTCTCCACAGCTTCAATAACATATATTGTTTCTTGAGTTTTTAATAATCACCCTTCTGACTGATGTGAGATGGTATCTCACTATGGTTTTGATTTGTATGTCTCTAATGATCAGTGATAATGAGCTTTTTTTCGTATGTTTATTGGTCACATAAATGGCCAATGCTTTCTTGAGAAGCATCTGTTCATATCCTTTTACCACTTTTTGAGGGGGTTGTTTTGTTTTGTTTTGTTTGTAAATTTGTTTAAGTTCCTTGTAGATTGTGGATATTATCCCTTTGTCAGATGGGTAGATTGCAAACATTTTCTGCCGTTCTGTAGGTTGCCTATTTACTTTGATGCTGGTTTCTTTTGCTGTGCAGAAGCTCTTTAGTTTAATTAGATCCCATTTGTCAATTTTGGCTTTTACTGCAATTACTTTTGGCATTTTTGTCCTGAAGTCTTTGCCCATGACTATTTCCTGAATGGTATTGCCTACGTTTTCTTCTAGGGTTTTTATGGTTTGGGTTTTACATTTAAGTCTTTAATCCATCTTGAATTAATTTTGTATAAGGTATGAGGAAGGGGTCCAGTTTCAGCCCAAAGTAATTTATAGATTCAATGCTATTTCCATCAAACTGCCATTGATATTCTTCACAGAATTAGAAAAAACTATTTTAAATTTCATATGGAACCAAAAAAGAGCTCATATAGCCAAGACAATCCTAAGCCAAAAGAACAAAGCTGGAGGCACCCTGCTACCTGACTTCAAAGTCTGCTACAAGGCTACAGCAACCAAAACAGCAAGGTACTGGTGCCAAAATAGACATATAGATCAATGGAACAGAACAGAGACCTCAGAAATAACACCATACATCTACAACAATCTGGTCTTCAACAAAGCTGACAAAAACGAGCAATGGGGAAAGGATTCCCTATTTAAGAAATGGTGCTAGAAAAGCTGACTAGCCATATGCAGAAAGCTGAAACTGGAAAATGTTACACTTATATTTTTGTTTTAGTTTTACCATATCTTTGTTAAATAGATTATAATATTGGGCCTATTTTATAGCTTATAGAATTAAAAAAATAAGAAATATCAAACCTACAAAGCTATACATATATAAACTCTGGGTACTATTGTTTTAGAGTTTTCATGAGCATAAACCAATTGTCACATTTCATTTGCTCTGAGATGAGGTCCATGGTCAGAAACAATGCTGAGTATAATGACATGATATTTGAAAGGGCATTTTATAAGTTCATGGATGGTAATTTTGCAAAATCTCTGTAATCAGATAAAGCAAATAAATACCTGTAGTGAGTAAGTATTCCACTAAGAACAAAGCTCTGCCCTTCCATGACGGAAGTGGCCTGGTGAGAACAACCAGGCAGCTGGCTGATCACCCAGGAAATGTTTTAATGTTAGCAGAGGCTGTATCCAAATCAGCCCAGGTGAGTGGAGGTCAGTGTTTTTCAGCACATACATATTCTGCATCACTGCCACCTTAGCCACTTTGTCACCAGCTGATACTTGGATATGATAGTAATGGCTGGGGAAGGAGACTACCTGCCATCAACAGAACAGGGCATTCTATTTTCATCATTAAAGTATTGGTCTACTGAAAACACTTGTTGACAAGCATTCACAAAGGATACCAATATCTTTATATTCTATGACCATTCAGTGAGGTCTACCCACATGCTCCTTCCCTAGACCTCCTTGTCACCAATATTCCAATCACGTTTCTTCAAATAGTGAACCATACAGCCAAGCTATTGGCTTCAGCTCATGAATCATTATAGTCCCCCATCTTTGGCTCTCTCTCCTCCCAGGCAAAATGAACAACCAAGTGCACTCATCCACATTCTGTCCACTGGGAAGATTTTCCTTTGCAATTGTCATCAGGAAGACCCTGTAGGTGTGGGGCTGCAGCATTGCAGCTGCCCATCTCAGATGGTACCTGCATATCATGCAGATCCATTCATAAACTAAGCAAGAGTTTTTTCACCCTTAGATCGTCATAGGGTACTCTAGTGAGGACTTAGGTACAAGCTGAGAGAGAAAAAGCAGTGTAGCAGGAGTAGGAGCCATACACATTTGGGACACCTATTCATGTAACTTACCTGTGCCTTCAAGGTGTACCTGAGTCCAATCTGGTAAATACCACTTCCATTTGATAATGGAGTACTGTGGTGCACACCTAACTGTGATTTTTGGGGGCAAAAAATACACAGTTCACAGTGAACTATCTATTAAGTCCCTGTAGTAGACCAAAATCTGTGTCTCAAAAGCAGAGTAGACATTCACCAAGGATAGTCAGGCCTTGAGCCCAAATCCTAAAGGCCTACACTGTGACTCACCTGTAGCGTCCCTCTCTGCCACTGCCACTTCAAGTTTCCTGAGGTCTACTCGATCATGAAACCCAAGAGGCAGAGCAGATTGCATAGCAGCCTGGATCTGTTCAGAGCCATTTTGTGTTCTGGGTGTCACCCAGCATTAGCAACTTTTGAGTCACTTGGTAAATGGGCCAGAGAAGCATACCCTAACAAGGTACACACTTCCTCCATAATCCATGGAGGCCTCACAGGAATAGCACAAAGGTGGAAAAACAGCAACTTAACCCTTACCTAGGAAAGGATATTTTGACAATCTCCAGGCCACTGGGCCTTGGAAATTTTGAAAGACACATAATTAAGCCATCAGAGATATTATGAATTTAAGGATGAAATTCATGGAATGGAAATACAGTACATTTTATTTTTATTCTATGCAATTGTTTATGTTTTTTGAGTAGTCTTAGATATCATAAAGCAGTGGTTCTCAAAAGTGAGCATACAATGGAATCACCTGGATATCTTGTTAAAACTCAGGTTGCTAGGCCCTAACACCAGAGTTTCTGATTCAGTAGATGTGGGATGGGAAGGAGCCTATGATTTGCAATTCTAAGTTCCCAGGTGATGCTCATGCAGGGACCACATTGTGCAAACCCCTAGATGGAGAAAAAAGTGGATGATTTATGGTAGAAAGCAACTTATAAGTTGACTGTAATATCATTTATCACTGATAACTCTCTGTTTTGTTTCTGAATTTGTTCTGTGAGTAAAGAGTTATGACTCTGTGTAAAAGGGAAGTTAACAACATTCAAACTCCGGGTACCAAGTCTGCTGTAAGACCACACAGACCTCTGCATCAAGCCTCCTTGTATCTAGGTGCTACATGGCATTTACATAGCAGAAGAGAACATTTAATACATTTCAGAAGAGATAAACAATTTAGGATAAATATTTAATATTTTAGGCATGAAATACAGTGTTTTCAAAAAATTATAAAAATGGAGATGATTTTCACTTGATTTCAGTAGCACATCTAATAATTTAACTTTTTTGAATCCTAATTCTAAATTCCAATCTAAGTTAAATTCTGATTAAGTTAATTCTTCTCTAGAACACATTTGAGTGAAGATTATTTTGTGAACAATGGGAAGACAATTGCTTGTGTTATAGACATTCCGTATTTTCTGTTTGAATGTTAATTACTCATAAGAGTCATTTGGTAGCTTTCATTCATTTGTTAATCCATTAAACAAGTATGTACTGAATACCTGCTATATACTAAGTTCTGTACTAAGCACTGGAATTCAAAGATGAATACGGTATAATTCAGCCTTTAAAGAGCTCACAGTTTAATGTTTCGTAACTGAGTCTTCTAAGAGGAAGGCCAGCATTCTGCTTGATTCTTTCTAGAACAATATTATATTTCATAGACTATGATGTTTGGTGCAAAATGAAGCTGTTAACCATATTTTTACAGTCATTACCTCCCTGGCTTGAGGAGAACAGTCAGAACAAAAGGTGATAACATTTATATTCCATGTTTTCTGCTTTCAAGATTATAATTCAGACTTATTTTCACTCAATGTGTCCAATTTAAGTCTATTGTTTATAACATTGATAACATCAGTAAGGTTATGGCTTTGCAATCAGTTTGAAATGAATAGCTCCAGTGGATTTAAATGATTTCTCTTTGAGAAAAAAAGTAATGAATAGGTCATAACTAATTAGCATGCCATAAATCACACTGGTGTTCTTTTCTACTTGAAAACCTGAGAAAGGTATAGTAACAGAAAACACTCTTTCTTTTTCTTTGTTTGTCACTGCCTTTTAGAG